TATCTATCTATCTTTTTATCTATCTATCTTTTAATCTATCTATCTATCTATCTATCTATCTATCTATCTATCTATCTTTTAATCTATCTATCTATCTATCTATCTATCTATCTATCTATCTATCTATCTATCTATGTATGTATATCTATCTATCTATCTATCTATCTATCTATCTATCTATCTATGTATCTATCTATCTATCTATCTATCTTTCAGGTTGAAATGTGCCTGCAGATGTTTTACAGTATTGTTTCTCCTTGTGTGAATGTTCTCTGGAGCCGCCCGTGTCTCATTTCCACTCTTTCCGTCTCACTTCAGGACGTGTTTCTAATGATTCGACGTCACAAGACGACCATCTTCACGGATGCCAAAGAGTCCACCACAGTCTACGAGCTGAAGCGCATCGTGGAAGGCATTTTAAAGAGGCCACCTGAAGATCAGAGGCTTTATAAGGTGGAGTTTGGGAATGTGCTAAAATGTAGTTATTTATGAATAACCAGGAAAGTTTAATATCGGGGGTGTGTGACATGAAAATGTTTACCCTGAGAGACTATCTTTAGTTATGTTACAGCTGGAATGAGGCTCTATATATCGACAGAAAACGTATCGGCGACTATTGATGACGAATTGATCCGTTCACACAAACAAAATTTCCAAATATTCTCTGTTTTCAGCGTCTCGAATGTGAGTTTGCTGCTTTTCTTTGTCATATATGTGACAGGAAGATGTTTTTAATCAGACAGAACAAACAAAAGAAGACGTCACAATGGGCTCAGAGAAGATGTAAATCTTGTTTCACTTTTTTTTTAATGATTCGTTAAAAAAAGAATCAGCGGATTAATCAATAATGAAAGTGATCGTTATTTGCTGTGCTGAGTCAGCTGTCTCTCTTAATATCTGTAGTTGTATTATACTTACGTGTGCAGGACAGCTTTATGGTGATATTAGATTTTAATATGATTTTCATCAAAGCGATGAAGTATTTATTATTAAAAACAGACAAAATTGTCTAAATATTTAACACATTTATCAATTATCTCTCTAAAAATGTATTATGTCATGTATATATTATACATATATTGACATAAAATCACATACATGGTTGATAGATGACTTAATCTATATTACCCATCCTTAACAGAGTGTCAAAAATCAGATATAACACTACTTTTTAAGCTGCATCCTTTAATTTACCCAATAGTTACGGGTTTATTTAACTTTAAACGTAACTGACACCGAACAACAGACCTGGAACACAAGTCGTCTTCACAATAGAGAGCATTGTGTGATACTGATGACGCTGAACACCGTCTCTGATGATGTGCTCTCTGTAAAAAATCTTGTAATCTACACTACTTATCTTTTCAAAATGTTTTTTGTTTTATTCCCCCCCCAGGATGACGTGATGCTAAACGACGGTCAAACTCTCGGAAACTGCGGCTTCACAAATCAAACAGCCCGACCTCAGGCCCCAGCCACGGTGGGATTAGCTTTCCGTCTGAGTGGTAAGTAGTTCACCCTTTATTCGACCTCACACGAGGCCGTTTTCAGTGAGTTTTGTAGTCGTGGCGTTCGTTTTATTTCAAGCCACTCTTTGCTCTCTGAGCTGAGCAAGTTGTTTTGAACTTTAGTAGCTCTGATTTATATTTTATGTCTCTCCTCTCCCTTTTTCTACTGTGACCACTTTGTCTCTCTCTCTCTCTGTCGTTCTCTCAGATGATTCATTTGAGCAGCTGAGGGTTGAGTCTTTCTCCACTCCCCCAGAGCTCCCTGACGTGATGAAGCCCCAGGACTCGGGCAGCACAGCCAACGAGCAGGCTGTACAGTGAGGGAGGGGGCGGGGAAACGAGAGGGACACGCAGGGGGACGGAGGGTGGATGCACGGGGGGAGGGAGGGGTTGAATTTTTGGGAAGTGTTGCCTCAGCGGGTGAGTTTTAACCTCGCAGACGACAGATCTTCAGCTGGGCGTAAACAATTACAAACACGGATTCCCCCTTGTTGTAAATTTGAGGGCGGGTGCTTCAAAGTGGTTCATTTGTCCTGATATCGGTGAACGCATGCTAGATAAATTTGATAATTTCACACAAGACCCTTCAGAGATACCTGACGGACTTGTCACGACACTGTCAGTCATCCATGGGATTGGTAAAGGCTGAACATAAAGAATTGTACCTCGTATTTAATTAATTCTAGTCTTTATTTGGGGTAAGGTTACTGCTGCCTTACTTGTGTTTTTTATTTTGCTGGTTTAAACGTGGGAGTTGATAAGGTGTGACATTTTTAGGCTTTTATGTTTGTGTGTTTCTTTATTAAACTATTACTAGGATTTAACATGTTTTTTGGTCTTTGGCCTGGATATGTGTTGCGACAATAGCTAGGAGTTTGTGAATTTCTAAGTTACTATCTGTATTTCAAAAAAAACTTTTGAACAGTATGAATCTGAAAATAAAAAACAGATTCGCTTGTTGGCAGAAGATCTGGCATTAAGATGAACATTTCTCGGTACTTTACTTATCAGTAGTTGTAGTTTTCATACTGTAGCTGCTCACAGAAGTTACTGAGACTGAATGCACTCAGTTGTGGGCATCTACAACACATGTAACGCTGGCGTGGACCTGGTGTTGAAAATCAAATGACTGAACGCATAGCAGCAATCAAAAATAACAGTAATTATTGATTTTTATTTTTTTTTTCTACTAACAAACGTTGGGACTAAACCAACTTTCCTCTCCAGTGTTTGATTGTAGCACATGACATCGTGGAGATGTTGAGTAGTAAACCTAAACCGTTTTAAGTCACACACACACACACAGGTAGTTTGTCATGTGATGAGTTATGAACTGTGCCTGTGAGTAGTTGGGCTGCACATTCGACTCTCCATTATCCCAGAATCACTGCCCATTTAGAATTCAGTTCATGCTGCAGCTTGTGTTGTATTATACACCATTAAAACCTTAAAACACATTATTTTCCTAAAATTACTCCTCTCCACATCAAATAAAAGCGTAACGCTGGGAAAACAAAAAAAAAAAAACTCCTCCATTAGTTACAACGGGAAAGTATATTCCGACTTGGGGGTGTTGAATGAAATTGTTGACATTACCGCATTTGCAATTTGAGGCTGTTAAACAGTGGGACATGATCAAAGTTGCACTTGTAACTGATTTAACATTAAAACAACTGTTTTTCACCCCCTGTGCACTGTGGTGTTTTTGTAGTCGACTGTAAACATGTTAACACATTAGTGTGTAATTTCACAGATGCTAGAATACAATCAATTGTTGATTTTTGTTTGTTTTTCAGCTTATATTGCGAGGACTAGTAAGGACAAAAGGAAGATAGAAATGTGCACATATGTTTAAAAAGTCACTTAACTAGGACAGCTGTCTGTGTGTGATGTGATGTCAATACTTGAGACAGATTAAAATTGAATTAATCCAAGAAGAATTAAGTACTTCTATGGTCAATAAAGTGTCATAAAATAGTGATTAATGCCCATCACAATACCCCAGAACCCTAGTTGACTTTTTCAAATTTCCTTTTATTAACTATGATATCAAGTTTTGCCAAAACAAGAGTCCAAAACCCAAAGATATATATATATGTTTATTAACAGAAGCAGAAGCAAATCCTCACATTTGAGAGGCTGAAATCAGAGGATGCCACTTTTGCTTGATAAATACTTAATTTTATTTTGGACAATGCACATTAATCAACATTTGGGTAAATGCAAGTGTTAAAGTCAAAGGGCGAACTGACTGCAGTCCATCCTCCCGATGAGAGGTTTTGAAAGGATGTATAAAACTGAATAATGGACAACATACCAGAATCAGAATCACTTTATTGGCCACACGTTGACTTCGGTTTTACTTTGCTAACACAGAATAACAACATAAATAAACAGAACAAGTTCAACAAAATAGATGTAGACTAATATGTACAGTTATACATTTATAGAAACAAACAAAAAACTAACATTTGTAGACAATA